TATATATATATATATGTATATCTTTTTTTTCTGACGAACCGGACTCGCCAAATGAGGAGGCGTGTTTAAAGACATCTGATGAGCCGGAAGCGAGGGGGCGGAGGGGGCGCGTTTAAAGTCTATGATGAACCGAGAGGCCCGCCATGCCCGCCCATCCCCCCGTTTATTAAGCCGTGCAAGCTTACTTCCAAGAACATCCCGCCAGTAAAAAAGTCAAATACACAGCGCTTATGGAACCTTTCAAAGCCTTTTGGCACAGGCATGGTCCAGGTTTTTGCAAATCGGGGGAGGCTGCGCCCCCCCAACCCCACGCTTCTTAACCGTGCAAGCTGGCTTGAAGGAGCATCGCGCCATGGAAGAACAGAACCCATCTCAGCCCTTTCAGAACCCATGACACAAGCCTTGTGTTTGCTGCAACTTTGCAAAGTCGGCCTGCGTCCTCCCGTCCCCCCACACCCCGACGAAACAGCAAAAAAACTAGCAAACCAAAAAAGGAACGGAACAACAACTCTACCCGGTGAAAATGGACTTGGCATTCTTGTTACTCGTAGATATTTGCAGTTTCACGGTTCAATTTGAGTCCTTCGGATGTCCGCCTCGTAGCCGAGGGTGAGTTAAGTCTTTTGCCTGTGGTCCGCCCACGCTGCAGGAAGAAGCAAAGTTAAGGCCACCCCTGAAGCAATTTTAAGTTTCAGCCAAAAAACCTCTAAGGCGGGGGGCAGATGACTTGGACGAGGCTTCCGGTACGTTTCTCGCGCGTCTTTTGCGCTCCCCGACATGGGGTGCGTGTGGTGCTGTGTAGTAAATCGCAACAGGCCCATTGAGGACACGACACACGGAGAAGCAACTGGCGTGATGGCAGGTATGGTTTCGCAAACCAGAGCCGGGCAAGCCTTCTCGTCAAAATCTCTGAATCCCTTTTGCGCTGAGTGCAGCGCAGGAGGCCATCAGAGTCTTTTCCGAGTGTACATATCGAGTTTGCACGTGGAAGACCGTTCTCTCCGTCGGACACGGAGGCATGTACCGAATCTTCAGAGGAAGGGACTGAAGGTAAACAGCGAGCTAGTGAGCTTTGGGCCTTGAGTGCCGACGTACACGAATCTCAGAACTCAATAGCCGCAGCCATTCTGCCCAAGATTGAGTCCCAACAGAAAATAGACTCTGTCAAGGAGGCCGTTTCTGCAGTGTATCAGCACACCAAACTCCAACCTCAGAAGCTGGGAGCCTGGCCTCGGGCTAGCAGAAACTGAAGTCATATATAGACCTTATAGACCCTTATTGTATCTGATGTTGTGTCGCGGACGGTAGAAGCACAGAAGGTTGCGCGGCGATGGAGCCGCCCCGACTCACTCCGTCGAACTCGAAACAAAGCAGGTGCTGCAGACACTCTGCCTTGTGTGCTAAGGGTATGCAGATGCCCCAGAAGTTTTACAGCTGCTATTCAAAACCGGAACTTGGACTCGGACATCCAGATCTGACTGTTCGGGCTACTCTGCATGTTTAGCGTGCATCCTAGGCCTGCATGACGAAGTCACAGACTTTGTGCTGGCGGAGCTGTGTAGATGATGCTGAAACTGAGCTGTCAGGGACGATGCGGGCCTGGGCGTTGATCGGACGGCTGTGGAGGCGAGCCTTACAGGCGGAATAGGTGGAATCTGGGTTTGAGTTGAAGGCTCAACATGTCTGTCCGCGGAATTCAAGCAATCCTCCTTCAGTGAGGCACTGAAAGGGACTGAGAGGAGACCTGTTGGGAAGGCTCAGATGGGCGAGTGGGCAACTTATGGAGCACAGCACTGCCCTCGGATCTAGCCGGGAACTTCATTGTCCCCATCTTGGGCCAGGGATACGTCAACTATGGTAACTATGGGTTGAACTACCAAGTTCAAGGATCTGCAGCACTAGACCTGCGATCAGGCCTTCGCAGCAGTTCAGCACTCTGGGGCTTCAGGGCCTGTAGCCTGAAACTTGTGGTCGCGGTTTCGGGGTACACTCAGGGTCCCCCACGACTACGAAGCTAAGCGCATGAAAACCAACCGCGAGTGGGAGTGTCAAGCCCATCCGCAGCAGCTCCCACCAGCTTGGAGCTTGTGAGAGCGTGGGCAGTGCTCTGTAGGCTGTTAAGTTTGCAGACACGGACTTTTGCCACACGTGTCCGTGCCAGACGCATAGCGAGGCTTCGCGCTTGGGTTGGTCTACAGGTGGACGAGCCTTAGCTGAATCTGGCAACTCTGGCATTGCCACATGTCTTACCCTCTGGCATCTTTGCCGGTGTCCAGGAGCAGCTGTCGCGGCGGGTGCCGGGATTCTCAGTTCTGGATCGGGGCCTTGCGACTTGCGACTTGCACCCCCCCTCCCACAAAACCCTTGCAGCCTTGCGTCACACGAAGTGCTTTGGCCATGACTTGCTATCAGAACCGGTTAAACTAAGCTGCCCCGCTTTGAAGGCCAGGCTTGATGGATGCCACCTCCCCAGCTGCAGACTGTCTGTTTCTGCTCTCCTTTCCAAGGATTGCCGAGACCTTTGTTGAAATCTCCCTTAAATCATGGCAACGGTCACCTGGCGAAATCCTACGCAAAACCGACACACGATCGCTCATCCAGGACCCCCCGCACTGGCCCTTGATCTAATTATGTTCGCAAGATGCTACAAGCCCGCCCGCTTCTCAAAGCCGACCACCTCGTCCCGATAGTGATTCAACCACGAAGTTGTGTTCCTGCTTGCCAAACATCTCATGCCACCGAATCTCCGTGAGGGAGCACGAGGTGCGTGCACGTGTGTGCGTATTTGCGTGTCTGCGTGTGTTCGGCTTCCATGTGCTGTACCGACTGAAATGCACAACGGTCGCCCAAAACAGGCTGTGGATTGGTATGGTGGAGCATGATGTCGTGCTTCATTTTGGGGGGACCTTGTACGAAATCCATGTTTCGAAGTCTTTCTTCGGGAAGTAGCAGGGGGCGGCCAGGGAACAAGTCATTAGCCTGGCAACGAGCCCAAGAATTCCAAAATTATGTGTCAGCAACATTCCTCCCCAAAGAATCCCAAAGCAAACCTGCAGCGTGGGCAGTGTTATTGCGAGGCCGGAGGCAAAAATGCAATGCCGTACCAGATTGACGCGCATGTCATGATCATCCGAGTTGCTCTTGTGCCGTCCTTGCCGAATGGATCGGATAGCGCCTTCTACCGTTGCTGGAAAGCCCGGTCAGCCGTCCGTAGACACACAAGTTGACAGCTGCAAGTGTGTGATGGTGAGTGTTTGCCAGCGTGGACATAACCAGTGACCGTCAGGTCAGGGATATTCGAACTCCCGTGAACCAGCAACAAGCCTCAGAGCTTCCAAGAGTTCGCCGAGGCCAGGCTAGCGCCGATTTCCGAAGCCTTGCTGGACCTGAAGCGCCAGGGCCCCGGCATAAAGCCTTCACCGCGCAAGCCGTGATCCAGAAAGCACGTAAATAGTTTATTCCTCTATGTCGCGATGCTGACGCACATCAGGGGTCGGTGTAGGTGTCGGCATGATCAATGTTGTCTACATGCTGTGCTTTCAACATTCTCCTAGGCAGACTCTCAAGCTGGGCGTTGCGCTGTACCCAGCGAAGCAACTTTTTGGCCCCACAGCCTTGTATACATCCATCACGGGCGAAAAATTAACCAGCACCACAGTAGCACCTACGTTCGCAGCTCATGCCCTGTTCCTTCGCAGGAACAGAGTTTTGTCATAGAGTACCCTTTGCAGCATTTGATGTTGGGCGCGACCCTGACGGCGGCTGTCGCGGCCATTGCCCTACTAGGCTGCGAGCTTCTGGGTCACTACGGTCACTACTGTAAGATATGCATCACGGGTCTCTGCCCAAACTCTCAACTGTCAACATCCAGCGCAGCTGGCTGACAAAGATCTCCCCGATAACTCTCCTTGCATGTCCAAGGGTGTTTACACCACCAGCGCAAAAAGCACTGTGACTGTGGTGAGGAAAAGTAGTTAAGCGGTGAGGCGATTGTTGCGACAGGTGATGGATGGGCGGGGGGGTATTGTTTTGTTTGACCATTTTTTTAGCCGGGTGGAGATGCAGGGGGCTGCGGCGAGCTGGGGGATGGCCTGGCTGGAGGTCCATGTCTTTACGTACGAGTGGGCTTCGAAGCAATATACAGGTGGAAAGCCGAACACGCTATTCTATCGTATATTGGCACAATATGGTATGTTGAGGTTATACAAACTCTATCTCCATGGTAAATCCCTGTTTTGCTCATACTGCAGAATATGTTGCAACTTAGCTTACTGTTATATCAGATAGTATTCCATATGCTGTATATATTATGCTATAAGGTTGTATGGTGTCATATACTATCCCATACCATAGTAGAATAGAAACTGATATCACAACTTTTAATGTAAGATAATAGCCGTAAGCAATAATAGTTGACAACTAAAAGGTTAGCTGCATAAGTTCTGCATAATCTTGATATAGTATTCATATATAAACAAATAGCAATACTAGTCTTTCTGATTTAGCATTAACCTAATTTGCAACGTATTTTGCAGTATGAGCAAAACTGAATTTACCATTGATATAAACCATGCAGAAAAACTTCAACACACTATCGATATAAGATAGAATGGTACAATTCTCTATGATAGCTCTCATCAAATCTAATCTGAATCTAATTCATGTCAATACCGTATGTTGCGGAAGCGTGTTCGGCTTTCCGTTGTATCTTGCTTCGAGGCCCACCTGTATGTAAAGACTTCGGCCTCCAGCCAACCTACCCCCCCCCTAAGAAAATCTCCACCCGTGATTAATCCTGGACCCCCTTACCTGAAGGCCCCCGATGGCACATTCAATGCGAGCCAGTCGTGATTATGACATGTCCCTCTGAGTAGCTACTATTCAGCCCGATTGCGTAAATCATGTCGTCGTGAAGACTTGCGTTGTTCACGGCGTGCTGGTTCTAGGAAGCTCACAGCAGCCATGGATGCCTCGTCGCTTTGCACGTTTGTCATGCATCGGTTTGATACATCATGGCGTTGGGCCTGGGCCTAAAAGGAGTTTACAGCGTGGAAGTAAAGGATTAGCTTTCCAGGCTTTTCAGAGACCTCTTTTGTTGCTACCGTGTTCAGCCTGTAGTGAGTGCGAGAAATTTTGACGGTTGCACATACTTTACACCTGTTGAGCTGTCTTCTGCGAAAGCCTTCTGTGAGGCAAGTCGGATAAATCTTGATGTTCCTCGTGTGGGGGCTCAGCCGTTATGCGACTGATCCAGCTGATCAGTTGACCTGGCTATGAGAACAACCGCTGCTCTGGCCTTTCTCGTCGTGGAAGGTGTCAAAGCATCACGCGAACGAAGGAAACCCCTGAACAAGCGGAAGTCAGACCCAACATCAGTCTCACCTGGAAGGCGGCTCTGCTTCGATGCTGCTAAATCACCAGATCCCGCTTGATGCGACAAGGCAGCAGCAATCACTTGCTCGAGGCATGAAGCGGTAGACCGTCCTCGACACTTCAAGCCTCGAGTGCTTTTGAAAGCGAGTGACCTCGCTATTGACTTGAGTTTGGTTTGTGCGGGTCCGTAGAGTGTTGGCTCTTGGCCGTAGACACACGCACACGAACGCACAGGAGCATTGCACCGTGGAGATCTTCGTTCGTCCATTATCCTCGTTTGTTGGCCGTTGGCGCTGAGGCACACGGGAAGACTCCAGGTCCCAAGCACCTCACCGGCAAGGTCGGACTGGCTCGCAGTAAGACTAGCACCATCTAGAAGCAGAAACTTGCACGTCGTGGAGACATGTTCCATGCAGCTGGGTCTCCCACATGGTTTGCTAAGTGGCTCAACGAACAGTAATTCCACGGACTTCTTCTCCTGGCCTTCTGCTCTCGCCTTGTGAGCTATGATTTTGCTTGTTGCAAAATAACAGGTACTCTTCACGCACGTGATCTCGATGAGAGTTCGGCAACATCTAAATCTCTGTGACCTCGAATCTGTTGAGTGATTCCATGGCAGGTAATCCATGCTTTAGATTGTATTCGATGTGCACTGCAGCCCTCCTTAAAAAAAGATAGTATCTGATAGCACCTCATATGCTGAAGTCAAAGGTGTCAAAGATTTTTCGGGGCGTTTCCGGCCGCCTGCTGCATGTAAAGACTTTTCGGCACCTGAATGTATCTGAGGATTTGTAAGTGAAGTTCTGTTGGTTTGTGAATTACAGCCAGAGGCCTGGAACCAGTTTTCTTACCGCTACAGTGCTCTCGGAGAGTTTAAAACTGCAAGCTTGTACTACAGCGCTCTTTGAAGCTCAGTGATACAACTGATCCTAGAGACGCAGGTGTTGTGTCAGAGCCATGCCAGCAGGGGGGTCAGGATCAAAGTCCGGATGAAACTTCCCACGCATGACCCAAGCTTGTTCTTCAGCGGGTGTACCACAGACTGTACCGCAGATGTAAAGAGTCCTGCACACCTCAACCACCCCCAGTCGTGGCTACAATTCTGAACACCGGACAGGAGCAGTTCCGTCGTGCTTTGGGACACGTGACGTGGTTGCACTTTGGTTGGGGGATATTCAGTCGCCAATCGCAGATGACTCGCGAGCGTGCTGCAAATGACATCTTTCGACACCAGAGTTAGAGAGGAGGACGGTCGGCAGGTTGGAATTCACGGAGGAGGGCTCACTGCCTGGGTGAGAGCATAACGGGCGCAAGTAGGCTTTCTAAACGATACTCGTACTGTTCGGAGTGTAGTAACGTAGTACTTGCTGTTGTCTTCGAGGGCGGCCTTCGTCATGGGATGCACACTGCCGCATTCCATCAAGAGCACGAAGAGACTTGAACCTGGAAAAACTGGCTTTCTGTCGCCTTAGACGGTGAACGGCTACTGCATATGGTGCTCTGATCGCATGAGTTCTCCGGCAGACGTGCTTGAAGCTGGCAGCTTGATCAGGTTATGATCCATGTGCTGATGCCTCATTTGAGTCTCCTAGCAACTCTTGGCATGCTGTGCGCGTCCGTCTTGAAGGACCAAAATTGCCTGAGAGCAAGGCGCAGTTGCTTTGTACCGAGTCCCCCCACTTTTTATACCGTGCTTTCATTGCTGCCACCTCGGAGGTATGATTGATACCTGCCCACTGCGGTTGCTGCTGCTGACGTTGTTACTAGCTGCTAAGTTGGGTTTCGTGTGCTTTGCAGCTTGTTGCGTCCCTGCCCTACATGAACAGACGACTCCGGAGATCATCGACCAGTAAGCCCGTTTTGGTCTGTGAGAACATCACCCTAGAGTGCTACACTACCCCTGGAGGATGGGCCACCATTTCTGCTCGATTCGTCCTTTTGGGTGGCAATAGCTGCCCAGGCTCCTCGTACTGAGAGCCATTTCACACGCCAATCCCTGGCCCTGGCCTGTCACCTGACCGCCTTCAGGTCACGTTCTTCTTTGCAGCCGAAATGGCTGGCGAATCTACAGGAGACCTGGCTGCCACAAACTGGATGCGGGTTGAACACATACTAGGCACAGCCAGCTGTGCTCGTCGCGATGAGAACTTTCACACGATTTTTCGCGGAGGTTACAGATGTTTATTATTGTTACTGGAGGGAGGCGTTTCCTTTTCACCCCCCCCCCCCCCCCCCCAGGGCAACTGCTGGACTTGATGGCCTTCGTATCATACTTCTTCCAAGTCGTCTTCATGTCGCTGCCGGGATTTGTGCTGAACCAGCAGGTGCAGACATATCGGGCCGTCGAGCTGCATGTGAGACATGCATCAGGCCTTGCATGCCAGGACCATGTAGTCAGTCTGTGTTCGCATGTGCGGTAGCGACGGCATCTTGTATTCTGCGCAGCCAAGTTCTTGCTGCAACTGGTCGGGACATTGTTCCTATTCGATGTGCAGAGCCTTGGCTGCGAAAGTCAACTTATAGATTATAGATCGTTGACAAGTCCGGTATTAGTGCCATCAAGTAGAGGAACGAATGGTGTCGATGAGTGAAAGCAACATGCAAGCTTCGTGGGCAGTGGCCCTGCATATTGTTATGGGAGTTTGGATCTAGAATGGGACGGGAGGTGCAGAGCCGGCACAAGGGTTTTTGACTACGATTCGAAGGGCCGGCCTCTCAAAATCCGGAATCCGCAAGGCGCGCCGCAATTCTGGCTTTCTCCACCTATACGGTGCCCCTCCTCCTGGCAGTGGCGTCCGGATCGAGCACGGAGCCTTCTCAGATGCATCATTTTATCATATTTTATCTATAGGCTGAGCTCAACTGGTGGTCCCATGTTCTAGGACTCATGGTTTTTTCTGTCGTGCTGGGTTGTTGCAGTCAAGTCGGTGCTAAGATCTAGCGTTGTAGACTCGGGCTTATGGTTCAAGGATGTGCAAGGTAAAGGCCTCACACCCCACCACCTTTGAACCCATATTCGGTGCCTCATAAGATTGAGCAGGGCTTTGGGCGCACCTTTTGCTGTATGCCTACCTCATAAACCCCGGGCCCTAGTGGCTGCGATGTCGGACATTGTCGGACCCTTGAGTTCGTCTTAGACCTCCAGCACGTTGAGGCATCAAGGGACTTCGTCTTTGCAGTCCTCATGTGCCTTGTTTTGAGTTTGTACGCACCTACCCGAAGCCCCGTAGTCAGTGATATTGTCAGTGATTAAGGATCTGTTTCTGAATACCATTTGGGCAGATGTGTTGCTGATGCTGGGCCTTCTGTTGCTGCTCAACACGATCAGCGGTGCCCTCCAGCTGAACTCCGACCCTCTTGTCGCTGACCCTTCGCTGCGCGACGAGCTGGCAATGGCCGAAGCCCGCAGAAGCATCATGTCTGTCATAACGGATGGAGAAATGGTCTTGAAGGATGACAAGATTATGCAAGCTGGGCGGCATGCCCGCCACTATCTGGAGGGCCTCCTCGGAAAGGAGGTGGGAGACTGCCTGACAAAGTTTCGAATCTACGGTTTGGCAGAGGCTGCAATAGGAAGGCCAGTGACTTGAAGGGATTTGTGTTTTGCTTTGGCCAGTTTCGCCGCCACCAGGTGGAAGTGGAGGGCCTTCTGCTGAAGGACAGGGTTGCCATCTTCCGGCCCAACGCACGGTGGGTTCGGTCTCCGAAAACAGTAGGATCATGCAGGCCCTCGGATCCTACCAAGGTCACCAGTGGTTTAGCGGGTTCATGATGGTATAGGCGAAGGTGCTTGCTTCGAGACCTAGCTCTTCCAGGATGTTCTGCACCCTACGGAGGTACGTCATGTTCCATCGCTCCATGCTGCGAAATCAGCAGGATTTGAATTTTTTGCTGAGGTACACGGGGGTTCTTACATTCGGGGTAGAAAGAATTGGTTCGCCTTCGAAGATTCCGCCAACTACCGAAAGTTGCGGTGGTGAGGTGCCTTTGATCCTGCCGGTGCATGGTGGGAAGCAGGTCCCGAGTCGCGCGTGGAAGGTTTGTCTCGGAATGCTGTCAGTTCATGGAGACATGGATTTTGGCCGTTGTCCTGAATCCCGCCAGTACATCGGGGAGGCATGGTGGTGTTTCTGGATCCCGCCAGTACGAGCAGGGAAGCATTTTGTCAGCGGTGTGATCGGTAGTCTCTGGGTGGTTTTCTCGCTGGTCTCCCGGTGGTTTTTCGGGGGCCACCTGGAGTCTCCTGCCTCCTGATGGTTTGCCAGTTGCCCTTTGCCCCTGGTGGTCTAGGTGGGTCTAGGTGTTCTCCTCGGGTGTCCTGGTGGTCGTGATCGGCGTGGTTTATCATTGTTCACGATCTATGCTGGCATAAGTCTTAAAGACTGCTGTGAAGGAAAGCTCCTGAACTCAGGATCTGCCCCAGCCTGAAAGATAGCAGCAGTCCGGCCTCGAGTTTTCATGTCCGGCTTCGGGATGACCGCCAAGCTCAAATCTACACCTGTGCCTTTAAAGCCGGCGACACTGACGTGCGATGGCTTGCCTGTATACGCGATGACGGGTCAGAGGCAGGATAGAGTCGGATAGAGCATGAACTGACCAGCTGGGCCAACCAGTTACATCCTTCGGCATATTGATGCGAGTTAAGATTCAGTCTCCGGCATAAAGTGGCGCAGCACCTTGATGTGATCGGATCTCGAGGGCGATGAACAAAGAAACCCCGCTACGTTTCGCCGGCTCTTCTTGGACACAGAAACTCAGGTTTCATGTGTGAGGTGGGGCCGGCTGGGCACAGGCCTGACCCACAAAGGCTACTAATTAGTACCAAGAGAAAAATGAACCGATGAACTGCAATGGTTCTCTATGACATACACGGGCATCTCTTGGCCTAGCAGTGCTGGTGCAGGTGGCCCGAGCAGCCCTGGCAAGTTCTCCTGAAGCGGGTCTGGCAGAAGCCATGTCAGACTTCGGCGACTCGCGCCCTCCTTCCGAGCCTTCGGCATCAGGCCTGAAAACTGGCGATGTGCTGAGCAGCTGAAGTGGAACTTCTGTTGGTAGACATGTTAACATATGTCTGGTCGTGGCAAGCAGGCACCGCAAGTGCAGCAGGGAGGGGGCCCGCCTCAACGTGTTCTTGCATAAGGCTGCTGAAATGCAACGGCTCTTTCAGATCTGTGAACTGGCAGGCGCATTCACATTGGCGAGCCAACGGCAAGAGCTGGCCCTCCCAGAACTGGAACTCTGGCGATCTCTTGAGGGGAGGGATGGGATGTTTCGAGGGCCACATCCGGATAATGCGAGACTGTAGGGCTAGGGCAAACTACAAGTGCAAAACATCTTGTGGCACGGGGTGCGGATGAAGGAAGTAGGGATGGTGGCATAGCGGGTCCGACAGGACTCACAACCTTCCTCCTTTTCTAGAGCAAGCTCAGGAGAGCATCGGCTTCACTTTGGACATCTATGCTGAGGAGCTGACGATGTTGCAGGCCTGGACGAATTTGCACAATTCGTGAGACTTATGTCTAGATCAACCCCTGCTACCCTGTTCCTCAAGCCCACCCTGCCCGAAGTTGCTTACACATCGCAGTGGAACTCAAGACTTGCAGCAGCTTCACTCGGTGGCTGTGCACTGTACTTCCGCTAGAGGTTGTTTTAAATAGAGCGGCAGCTCAGCGGCTTGAGGACCTTGCTAGCTCGGGAGCACTCTAAAGGGACATTGTTGTTTCAGCACTTGGGCTACAGTGTTTTGGGCTTTATATTTAGGGAACCGATTCGGAGATGGCTGGCTTTGTATTGCAGTCTTACATGATGCTGCATTCCAACGGCTCCTTGCGGACTTTCGGGGTGTTGTAGTTGCTTGCAGCAAGTGCGATCTGCAGACCGATTGGTGGCTGAGGTAAAACTCAACTTCAACATTTCTGACCTTGCGCACATCGATACAGGTCGCTTGCCCACCATGCACCTCGGTGTGCACTTAGGCTGAGTCTCGGGGAATGTCGAAGACTTGAAACTGTACAAACTTCTTCCTGCAATAGAAGCCTGCTGAAGCCTCGCTTTGAGTCTCGAAAGCGCCCGAATCTCGAGGAAGAGATGGCTGGTCCAGAAATCTGTGGACAGCTTCCATGAGTGGTTGATTGATCAAGTGCAAGCAGCACCTCGGCGATTGAACCCACATGCATACGGAGTCTGCAGTGAAACTTGTCTTCTGACTTGTAAGCTCCTAGCCACTTCGGCAAAGGTGCGCTTTGCACCATCCAAGTGTGTACTCCACCAGGACCTGGCCGGAGCTCCGACAGTGGCATTTCCCGGCTCCTTCGAGCTCCATTGCCCGGGCAACGGTGGCACGCTGCGCGCCGCTGGGATCTGTTGAAGGTCTTCGGGTTACCCAGGGCACTCCCAGGGCCCTTCATGATCAACGCCACAGACTAAGTAAGGGGCTCTTACGTTCAGAGTGAAGGCGATTATAGGCGACGTGCATGCTGCCGCTGCACCCGACGGTTCGGCACCCTGTCAGTCTCGACTATTATCGAGTTCTTCCCACAGTCGCGCACCGGCCGCGTCCGTCGGGGCACCGAAGACACCTTGGCACTCCAAGCCCACTCCCACCACGGTCCCGTGCTCACGATGGTTTCGATTCAACACGACTCGGCTCTTCGGAGCATTTCTTCTTCCAAGTGTGCCCTGTCGTTTCCAGCTTCCGAAGTTGTGCCGCTGCCACAGCAGTACAATTCGTGTTTCCAGAATTCGATTTCCAGACAGTGCCGACCATGTCTGGTGAGCGATTTGGACTCACGACGCGGTCTTGCGAGCTTCCAGGTGCTCCATGCAGGGCTTGCGCTCCAGTGTGTTTTGTTTCAGGGTTTGGGGTCGAGGCTGGCGTAAATTTGCGGCATAATTATTGTTTGGTAGTCGAGATGTGTTTTGGCAATTTGTGTCGTCGCGGTCGTTGCTGTTGCTGTTTTGGTGTTCTCCTTGATGGCGCATGCACGGCACAGACGGATGCTTGTGCAGAGTGTTGTCAAGTTTGTATACTGGCGTCACAGTAGCCGACATGCGGGCTACCTGCGCAGTTCTCGCCTGGATGATGATCACGGCTTTGGCCTGCAGTGTTGCTTGATATTCAGGTTTCCAGCACCACTTTGTGGCATGTCGTGTGGCGACAAGCCCATCATAGCAGCGTCAGCATCAGCAGGAGGAGTAGTAGTAGTAGTAGTCGTCGTAGTCGTAGTAGTAGTAGTCGTCGTGGTGGTGGTGGTGGTGGTAGTAGTAGCAGCAGTAGGAGCAGGAGGAGCAGCACCAGCAGCAGGAGCAGGACTAGTAGCAAGAGCAGTACGTAATGAAGCAGCAGGAGG